CAGGATAAAGTTCACCCATGGGAGGCGGGTGCTGTGCAGCTCAGGAAGCAGGGCTTCCTCAGAAAGGCAGAGGGAGTTCGTGGAGATGCTGGGGTTTGTCTCTCCCCTCTTTCACTGTATTTTCCTGTAGACAGTGTTCAGAGAACTTTTCTACTCACTGCTCATGCTCAGTGGTTTCTTTTGAAATCTTATTTTTTAAGAGTGGAGAACCTGTTTTGGAGCCCTTTTCCATTTGAAGCTGTCCCACATTAACTTGCGAGCTTTGGAATAGGGAATCTGCCATTGCCAAGCATGCGGCTGTAAATAAGGCAGTCACGTTAAATTAGTAAAGAGAAGGAAAAAGCACTACTTTCCTGTAGCCAAATTTTCTCAGAGTTTTCTTTATTAACTTGGGACTTGAAACATTTAATTCCCTATTGAGCTGCTAACATGGTCTGCTTTATAATGGAACCCTTAGCTGCTTCTGCTGACTGACATTGCTCTGACAAAATACAGATAGCCTTTCAGCAACGTAGGGAAGGGGGGGGGGAAATACTCAAGGGTGAGCTTTATAACGACCTAAAGTCCGATGTTTCTAGGACTTCTTCCTAGTACAAAAGTAGTTGTAATTAGCAGAGCTAGGTTCAAATGAAAATCGTCAGCAAGGTGCCACTCTTCGGTCAGTTTGTTTTTCCTAGTTATTTAGGAACAAATAACTCCTGTAGCAGTTGGGGTTCACCTTGTATTCTCCCAAGTATTTTAGAATAAAATAAGACACTATTACCTAAAGAAAGTCAAGCTATCCCTGTGCAAACGGTGAGCCATGCCTATTACAGTTAAGGGGAGGCTGTAGAGCAAGGACCGCTGCTATTGCAACCTTACTGTCTTGTGTTCCACATTGTCTTCATGGAGAGTCCACAGAGGATCTGTCCAGCAACGTGAGATGATGACACCTCTGTTTTATTTCTTATGGTACTCATGCTCTGGGGTCTGATTGCAATGTATAAAAGTATTCAGCGTTTTAAACAAAGACCTTGTGGTCCTGGCACCACATGCTCAGTAACTGTATTCAATCTTCTCAACTGAGAGATGGCTCATAATTTCAAGATAACTTCTTGCAATACTGTTGGGGCATTCCAAGCCACTCTCACTTGCAGGTAAGTAGAACGTGGT